TGCTGAGAACAGTCCCACCGAAACCGAAGTACGTCTGCGCCCCGTTTTATTGCGGCCGAGCGTGCTTATGTCTCGAGGGAGCAATCAGAGCCCAGGTCAGGGAACCAGCGAGAAAAAGCGTGTCATGGGACGTCACATTAAAGTGGACACGCGAGCAGGAGAATATGCAGGTTCCCTTCCCACTCCGAGGACCGTGCGGCCCCGGGCTTGTTCCCAGGGTCGGCGCGCGGGGCTCAGCCAGAGGTGGCCACCGATGACCAGTCTCCGGTGTAGCCGCAGAGAGAGGTGCCGGGCCGGGTGACGTCCCTGCAGGTGACGCCCCAGCCACTCCCGCGTCCGCCGTGATGCTGGGCTTCTTCTCTCACGAGAATGGGGATTGTGTTTTCCACATCCGCATCCGGGCGCGTGACGTGCGAGCGTCCTGGGTCTCATTTCCGCTCGGAAGGGGGCCGTCAGAAGCCGCGATGCCCAGGGGGTGGGCAGAGGAGGATGAGCGCGAGGCATGTGGGCCGGTGTCAGTTCCGCCGCGGGTGGCTTTTCGTGGTGAGAAACAAGAAATAACGTGCAGAGGCGGTGGTTTGATTTGGTGGGAGGAAATGACCTCTCAGAGGCCCGGAGACCCCCGTCCAGGAAAAGCCAAAGAACGTGGGCGAGAGACAAAAAGAAACAGAACGAAAATCTTGAGAAAGGAACCCGCCGTTCGCCCACCGACTCCGTGATTTCCTATAAATCACGCATCTCGATTCCGCGTTGAAAGTGATCCCGAAACCTACACGGCCATTCCGGCCAGCCCGGGAACAACAGATGGAATCGTTTCATATTCTTGAGACTGGAAGTTTCTGAACTTGCTCATAAAAACAGCAGTAGAATAAAGTAACGGTCAATGACGTACAACACAATAAGGCCCGAAAACAAAGGCCCGAAGGCCCGGTTCCGGAAGCCGGGCGGGAACCGCAGGCGGAGCCCTGGGGTGACTGGGCCGCAGCGTTTCCGTGGGACGAGGGCCGCTCAGGTGTCCCTGGCCCCAGGAAAACCAGGAGCAAAGCAAGAAAAACAGTCCACAGGGCAGGAAATGCTAGAAAAAAGACTCCATTTCCAGGGGTTCCTGTTCCTTTATGGTCGCCCCCCCCGGGAGCAGTGGTGGCGGATTCGCACGAGGGCCCCAGAGACCGTCCTTCCTGTGGGCGGAGTCATGGGCCAAGGGCACCGGCCTTCGCCGGGACCTGCCTTGTCCGTGGCTGCAGGTTGGGGAAGGAACAAAAACGTGAGACTCACACACGGGAGGAACGTGCCGGTGAGCTGAGTGCTGTAGCCACCGCGTTGGACACACGCGCACGTGTGCAGTCATGGTCCGCAAGTGTGCGCGTGCAGGTGAACCGCGCTGTAAATAGCAGCCCGAGGTTTTAAATCGGGGAGTGATTAATCATGGTGTAAAGGACTCTTGTTTTTGAACAGACGTCATTATAGATTTTCTTTCAAACGCAGGATCCTTTCAGGCATCTGCAAGTGTACACGTTCATATTTATCTACGACTTCAAGAGACATCCATTACGTATCACAGTTCTCACCGTTTCATAGGCTCCAGTGTGTGTGTAGATTTTGCATGCCCAGCTAATTATATCTTAGCAAAGTTAATTCCATAATTTACGGCCGGATCAACGCAGTACCCAGCGTGGTCACTTTCGGCTATAACACGTAGGAATCCACACCAGTGAGATTATTTCCATGCGCCTCTCTCTGGAAGGGCAGTAACGAGATCATTGAGATATTGAGCAGAACCTAATAGACACACCGAGTCAGACTTCCTCTTTGCGTCCCTAATACATGGACGTGCAGCCCCTTGACCAGAAAGTCACAGCCGTCGCCCTGGGTCTGGCCATAGGAATGCCCGTCACCTGCGCAGGACCAGCCTAACTCTCAGGCAACTGTGTCTCGCGTGACTCCAGAGGCCGCCAGCGAGCTCGCTGGCCCCAAACCGTCTCCATTAACTCTCCACACGCCTGGGTTAGCACCGTGAACTATTTCTCGGGGTTAAGACTTTATCA